GCAACAATGAATGAATGGAAATCCAAAGTCTCTAAATTTTCATTAAAATTAATTTTAAAAATTTAAAAAAAAATCATAGCCTCAGAAACACTATGAAAGGTCACTATAAGTTGGCCCAACTTCACAAGTGGGCTTAAGGAAGGAGTTTAGAGGAGCACTACTGATGCTGTGATTAAGGCATTGGGCTGTGAACCAAAAAGACAGTGGGTCAAACCACCACCTCACTCTCGATAAGAAAGAGAAGCATGCTGTGACCATAAAGATTTAAGCTTTGGAAACTCTATGTGGTGTTTTTTACTGTGTGCATAAGAGTTGCTAAGAATCAAAATTGACACCATGGCAGTGGGCTGGTATTATTCTTCTTTCTGCACAACAAATTGTGGCTAAACTTGAGAAGAATAGGAATCCCAGAACATTTGATTGTGCTCATGTGAAACCTATTGGACCAGGAAGCAATCTTCAGGGCAAAGCCAGGAAACACTGCATGATTCAAAATTAGGAAAAGAGTGTGTCAAGGATGCATCCTGCATCCCTATCTTTTCAATCTGTACATGGAATATATCAAGCAGGAAGCAGGACTTTATGGGTAGTAATGTGGAACCAGGATTGGAGAAAGACTCATCAACAACCTGGGTTATGTAGATGACACAACCTTGTTCACAGAAACTGCAGGACCTGAAGCATTTGCTGCAGAAGGTCAAAGAGTGCAGTCTTCAGTATGCTTGAAGCTCAACATCAAGGAGACAAAGATTCTCAACACTGGGAAAACTGGCAGAACCATGATAGATGGAGAAGAGATTGAGGTTGTTAACAATTTCAACTTGCTCAGCTTTATAATCAATATTCTTGGTATCAACAGTCAAGAAATCAAAAGATGAATTGCGTTAGAGAAGGCTGGTGTCAGGGACCTCTCCAACGTGCTGAAGAGTAACAGTGTCATTCTGGAGACTAAGGTACTTTGAATCAGGCCATGTTCTTCGCAATTATTGCTTTGCTTCAGAGAGCGGGACAATAACCAAAGATGACAGAAGAAGAATAATTGATGCCTTTGAGTTGTAGTGCTAGAGAAGAATATTAAACATACCATGGACTGCCAAGAAAACAAGCAGATTTGCCTTGGAGAGGATAAAACCAGGTTGCTCCTTGGAGGTAAGAATCTTGAAGCTCTGTCTCATATACTTTGGGCATGTGGCCAGGAGGGATAAGTCCCTGGAGAAGGACATCATGCTTGGAAGGGTGAAGGGACAGTTCAGGAGGGGAAACCCTACATAAGACAGATTGACATCATAACTGGAGTAATAGTGGTAGGTGTATTGGAGACAGGGAGACTGGCTTAGGAGAGATCAGAGTTCAGAGATACTGTATATAGGGTCACTGGGCACATAACAATAACAACAAAATTAATAACAAACTATAAGAAGTTTCAAGTCAACATAGTCCCAAATGCTTAAACAGCTGTATAATTCCATAATTTCTCTGTGGCTTAGTTTCCCAACTCATCCTATAGTGAGTGACTCTCTACAAAGTCCTCCAGAAACTCAGACCTGTCAGGAGAATGACTCACATGACTATAGGTATGAAGGCCAGTATTTTGTGTTTTTTATTGAGTCTTTCTATTCATGAACAGGAAACATTTTTCCATTTATTTGGAGAAGTCGTTTTCTTTGTAAAGGTTTTTGTATCTCTATTTAGGTTTATCCTTACGTATTTCAGTTTGGGGCTGGGTATTGTAAATGGTATTGCTTTCTTACTTTCCTTCTCTGTGTTTTCTGGTACTATAGAGGAATCCCACTGACTTTTGTATATTGATCTTGTATCCTGCCACTCTACTAAACTGGCTTACTAGCTCTAACAGTGTTTTAGTTTTTTGGTGTTTTTGTTGTTGTTGAGTCCTTGAGGTTTTCTGTGTACACTACATATCATCTGCATATAGTGACAATTTCACCATCTCTTTGCCAATCTGGCTGCCTCATATTTCCTTCTCTTGCCATACTGCCCTAGCAACTACTTTCAATAGCATATTGAATAGAAGTGGTGACAGTGGGCATCTTTACCTGGTCCATGTTTGCAAGGAGAATGCTTTTAGTCTTTCTCCACTGAAAATTATATTAGCTCTTAATTTTGCATCTATACTTTTCACAATGTAGAGGAAATTCCCTTCTATTCCTATTTTGCCAAGTGTCTTTATCAGGAAGAGGTTTTGCATTTTGTCAAAGACCTTTTCTGTATAAATTGCTAGAATCATGTGGTTCTTACTATTTGATTTGTTAATGTGATGTTTATGCTGATTGTTTTTTTATGTTGCATACTTGTTAGGAATCCCACTTGGTCATGATGAGATATATGTGTGTGTATATGTGTGTGTGTGTATATATATACATATACATATATATGCATATACATATACACACATATACATATGCTTTTAGATTCTATTGGCCAAGATTTTAAGGATTTCTGCACCTATATTCCTGAGAGATATTGGTCTATAGTTTTCTTTTTTGGTAGTATCTTTGCTTGGTTTTGGTATTCAGGGTTATGCTTGTTTCATAAAATGACGCTGGGAATTTTTTTTTCAATAATTTAAGCAGAACTGGTGATAGATTTTCTCCAAATATTTAGTAGAATTCAACTGTAAAACCATCTGGTCCAGGACTTTTTTGTAGGGAAGTCTCTTTATGACTACAGGGTGGTTTTGCAGAAACTAATAAGCAATGACTTGAACAATGACTAAGGATGACATAAAGTTAATAGATGCCTTCAATTTGTGGTGCTGGAGAAGAGTCTTGAACATACCATGGAGTGCCAAGAGAACAAATAAGTTTTTGTCTTGGAGAGGGTGAAACCAAGTCTCTCCTTGGAGGCTAGGATTTTGAAACTACACCTCACTTTGGGCATGTGGCCAGGAGAGATTGGCCCTTGGAAAAGGACATCATACTAGGAAGGGTGGACGAACAGCGCAGGAGAGGGAGACCCCGGATGAGATGGATTGATACAGTAACTGGGGCGATGGGGATTGGTGTGTCAGAATTAGTGAGACTGATTCAGGACAGAAAAAGGTTCAGCGCTGCTGTACATAGGATCGTTTTACATCACAGGCAACTCAATGACACATAACAATAATATACTATGACAGGTTTGGAAGCAGGAGTGGCATCCATTTCCTAAATAACATGCCTCTGTAAACTCTATGAACTTTGATAAATGTCAAGAGGTGTAGAGGAGCTTCAGGCCTTTTGTTCATAGGGTTGCTATGAGTTGTGCCCAACTCAAAGGCAATCAGCAACACCAATGAGCCTTGCGCCAGGCTGGATGCAGCTCGATGTTTGGTGCACTGTTTACAATTTCTCAGTCCAGACAACTCCTTATCCTCCAGGAGGCTTAGGCTAAGTTTACAGTCTCGCTGCTGCCCTGTGTTGGTGTTTTCACACATCCCACAGTGCGGACAGTGTTCTTTTATTGGTTCCACAGCTGTTGATGATTTGAGAGACCATGTGTCTGTAGTCAAGGTAGTTCTGGAATTAAGGTAACTGGAGATAATTTCCCCGGCGGGGACTAGGAAAGCCATTTATCAAGGTTTCTGACAGTAGAACTGGGTTTGGGTGTTTGTTTGGGAGGAGTCTGCTATCACTGTCCCCAATGTAAAGATGAGAAAACTGAGGCAAGAGATCAGGTGGCTAGGTGACCTGAGTAAGTACATGCAAATGCTTAGAGTTAAGCTGAGGTTTGCATCCAGGTATATCTGTTTTAAAAATAAGCAGGTTTCAGAATTCTGGGCTAGTAATTCTTACCCAACAGAGGGCCAAGAAGAAGAAGAAGAAAGAAGCTGGAGAAGAGCAGCCCGATGAGGAGACTGAGGAGCCGATTGCTGGGGAGGAGCCTGTGAAGCCTGTCCCTCCAGCGCTCACCGACCCAGCAGTGATTGAGCAAGAGGTGAGGGATCGAGCGGCCCACAGCTGGAGGAGGCCTGGGGAGCCCATGCTGGTCCCAGAGCTGAGCCTGGCGGGGAGCGTGACACCCAACGACCAGTGTCCCAGGTGAGCAAAACCCTGCCACGTGTGAGACTAGCATCCCACACATGTACCTGCTCTTACACACACACCGGTACCATGCTTCTGATGACACAGCACCACCAGGATCATCACCGGCTCCCTGTGAGCACCTGTGAGGTTGAGCTGTGTGACAAGGCTGCCATGTGACCCTCTGGGACAGCGTTCAGTGACTTCTCATCTTCCCCCAGAGTTCCGAGGAGCACACCATGCAAAGCTCCTGGTGGGAGAAGCAGATGCTGGTGTGCTTTTATGTTTAGTTTTTGTTTTTGTTTTTAACTTTTATTATTATTATTATTATTATTATTATTATTATTATTATTATTAATTTTCATGAAAACCAACAGAGATTTTGGATTTCTAGTCATTCATTGTTGCACTTTTCTCCCTGCCCACCCCGCCTCTCCAGTTTGTTCTTCTCTTTAAAAAATAAGAGAAAAATTCTTTCATTGTTATACAGTCCCTCCTCCCAAGTCCTGCATAGTGGAGTGCTTTTATATTTGAAACCCTCATCTAAAAAGGAGCTCTGGTGGCCTGGTGGCAAGAAGCTGTGCTGCAATCCTAAAGGCACAAGGATCAAGGATCAAGGCCACCTGCTGCTCCGGGGGAGAGGATGGGCCATCTCCTCCCGAGCGATTCACTCCCTCTAAAAAAGCTGCCTGAGCATCAAGCTATCGGCCGGTTCCAACTCTGTGGTACACAACACACACAACAACAAAGTAAAAGTCAGTGTGTTCCTCCTTCTGGTCAATCACACTAGGGCTTCTGCTGCTCTGTTGTTGTTGTTGTTGTTGTTGTTGTTAGGTGTCATCCAGTTGAGTATGAATCATAACAATTCTATGAATAAGAGATCTGAACCCTTTCCTATCCTGTGCCATCCTCATCATCTCTGACACAGTCAAACCCACTGCTGCTGTCACTCTGTCAGTCATCTCATTGAAGGCCTTCCTCTCACTGCCCCTCCAATAGTCCAGATCTGATGCCCTCCCCACCACCACCACGGAATAGCCTCTCTTAGCACCAAGCCCAACGTATGCGAGATTCTTTGCCTCCAAGAAGCACTCTGGCTGCACCTTCTCCAAAACATAGCTGTTTGTTGTTCAGGCAGTTCATGAGATATTCTGGAGTCTCCTAATGAGAATATTGGCTGGTGTCTTATATTTGTAGTCATTCCAAGATCAGTATGTGTGTATGTGTGTGTACATACACACTTTATATACACTACTCATGTGTCAGTTTGCCATACTGTGGTGGCTTTCACGCTATGGGATGCTGGAAGTTATGCTACTAGTGTTTCAAACACCAGCAGGTTCACCCATGGTGGAGGTTTCAGCAGATTACACACTCAGACAAGCTAAGAACCAAGGCTGGCTTATCCACTTCTAAATAACAGTGCTTCCAAAGCTCCAGCAATGACACTGAAACACTGGTCGGCATAGTGCCTGAGCATGTGCCCCTCAGGTGGGAATGCTCTCGCAATGTGGCTGGGAAGAGATGCTTCCTCGCTTAGGATACTGCGAGTGATGTGGGAGTGGGGGTGAGAGATGGAGAGGGCACGAGTGGGGATCTAACCCTAAAACAAGTAAGTGAGACTAAAACAGAATAAAAATCAGAGACTCACCAAGTGTTTTGTCCCTCGCTCCTCTAAATCAGCTTCCAGGTGGATCAGA